GGGGCCCCCGCCGTGTTGCTCCCGCAGGCGGTTGAGGCGTGCAGCCAGGATGAAGGGCCGGAGCCTGAGGCCAGGCAGCAGGTAAGGGGCCGGGGCGCCCCATCTGCTGAGCCCTTGGCAGAGCCGGGCTGTCCGGCCCGCCGGTCTCTGCCATCAGAATGGATCCTGGCGCAAATGGATCCAGCCGGAGCAGACCAAGGGCCTGGGCTGTGCTGAGCAGGCAGGATGAACCCCACGCCGATGGGACCTGCCTGTGCGTGCTGGGGTCCCCCATTCCCCGCGAGAGACAATCTTTCTCCCAGGCCAGCCGTGCCCCGGGCAGAGCAGCCCCCATCCCACGCACCAGGCAGGAGTCCTGGCACAGGGGTCAGGGTCTGCAGTGCAGACCCGCTGCGAGCAGGATCCCCTGGCAGGCATGGAGAGGGCTGTGGTGTCCTGTGCTGCAGCCCCACAGGGACCAAGAGGCCTCGGAGTGGAGCTGTCTCTCCTGGTGGATGGGGAGGGAGGGCTGTGGAAATGGGCTGCTTTCTGCAGAAAGCAGCAGCAGGGAAGCTAGAAAGGCTGCGCACCCCTCCATTCCCCGCAGGGTGGGCTGGCAGGGTGGGCTGGCGTGGGCGTGAGAGCGCTTCCTCAGCAGTGCTAGCGGTGCTGGGCACCAGGGTGTTGGCATGGCAGTGCTAGCGGTGCTGGGCACCGGTGCGATGGGCACAGTGTGGCAGGTCTTGTCATGAGTGCTGCATCTGCTCGGGATCTCTTGCACCCTTTGGCCACTCGCTCTTGCTGCCTTTCTGCCAGTCCCAATGGACAGTCTGGCTGCCCTTTCCCTCCGTCCCTGGACCCTGCTGCCAGATTTGGTGGTGGGTGCAGCGAGCCAGAGCCCGTCCTCTCTGGGCTATGGCATGGCACCTCTCGCCTGAGCCCACTGCCGCATGGAGATGTTGCTCTGCCCCCAGCACACGACCTTGCCCTGGTCCCACCACCTTCCCTGGTGCTGAAGGTGCCCCACACTCTGGACCCATCCTGAGCTCTTCATCGTGACACTTGCCAGCGTTGTGTCCCCAACAGGTCTCCTCGCCAGCTCCTGCAGCTGTGCCTGCGCTGGTGATGGAAATCCAGACGGGGTCATCCCATGGGGTCTCCTCAAACCCCCACCCACAGGTCCCGCTCACTGCAATGTGCTGTTGTTTGTCTGGTTTGGTGCTGACTGCCCCCTTTCCAATGAGCGGGTATTTCCCCTGCCGCGCTGGGTGAAATGCTTTGCGAAGTCCATGAAGCTGTGGTCTGCTTCCTTCCCTCTGCCCGGAGCAGGAGCTGTCTCCTGAAAGCCACGTGCTGGTTTGCTGGGGCTGATCAATTTGGGGCTGCATGGCTGCAGTCGTATGTGGGGTCACAGGCTAATCCAGGCTGGAAGGAACCTCAGGGAGTCCTGGTCCAGCCCCCCACATGGAGCAGGGCCCGCTGGGGGTCAGCCCAGGACTTCACCCAGGTGGCTTTTGAAAACCTCCGAGGATGGAGATCCCACAGCCTTGTGGCCTCTGCTCCAATGAACAGCCCTCACAGGGAAAAAGTTTTCCTTGCGCTGAGTCTGAACCTCACGTTGCCGGTCACGCCTGTGTCTCTCATGCTTTTCCCTCCCACAGCTGGAAGAGCTGGGCTCTGGCCCCCTGGCAGCCCCTTGCAGGTGTGGGTCTGCTGCTGCCAGAGCCCCCTGACGCCGTCTCGGCCCCCGACTGGAGCAGCCCCATGCCCCTGTCTCTCCTCCAGCCCTGACTGTCTCAGTGGCCCTCCCCAGAGCTCACGCTGCTTAGCTGAGGTCTTTCTTGTACTGGGAACCCAGAACCGGGTGCAGGATCGAGATGTGGTTTCATGAGTGCGAATGGGTGCTGATGTGCTCCATCCGGCTGTTTGAATCCCGGTTCCTGGCAGCCCCATGCTGTGTCCTGGGGCTCGCTGAGCTGTGCAGGCTGACACGAACCTGCCACCCGCCAGCGCGGTCAGTTGCCAGGCTTGGTTTTGCCTTGTCCCTGGCGGGGTGCCAGTCCCCTGCCCTGTTTCGGGGCACTCTGCTCTTCATTCCTTGTGGTCCCTGGGGTTTGGGCCCTGCTTGGCATCTTCCTCCCCAAGTGAAGCAAAGCATTTGAGCGTGTTGGGACCGTACCTATGTCACATGTGCACTGGGCTCCAGGCAGCCTCCTCTTCCCTGCTCCGCTCAGTGTGCGCCTGGGGAGCTCCCCTCGCTTGCAGTGGGTCCTTGCAAGCCTGCAGCGAGTCTCACCGTGCCCCGTGGCACTGGGGAGAGCACCCACTGCCTGTGCTGCTTGCTTGGTGCTGTGCTTGCTGGGCATCCTGCTCCCCTTGGAGCATGGCAGAGTGATGTTGTCTGGTGTCTGGACGAGGACAATCGCACACCTCACTTGGAGCCGACAGATCAAATCGTTGCCAGTGGTGTTTGATCTTCTGCTGTGTGACAAGGCAGCACGGGATGTTGCTGCATCTGGCACAGTTTCCTGGTGGGATGTGGGCAGGAAACTGCATCATTGCTGTGGAGCGCAGTGGTGTCACATTGCTGGCAGCAGATGATGCCGTTGCACCCATGCGTGACACAAAGGGGACGAAGGGGACGTGCATGAGTCTCCCTGGGAGGCCAACGTTCCCAGTTCGGTGTTCAGTGAAAGCCGGGGCAGGCTGTGCTCCCTGTGTCACTGCAGCTGGCAGAGGTGACAGCCTGAGGCCCCGGGCTCCTTGATGGTTGTTTTCTGTTTTCCAGGCTGGCCTCCAAATCTCAGCCTAAACAAAAGCGCAGGGAGGACATAGGGTCCAGGAAGAGGTAAATGGCTCCAGTGGAGAGCCTGAGTGCCAGGAACCCGACTCAGTGCCGCCAGAGCCGTGTGTGTCCCTGTGCTGCCGGGGATGTGGGGCAGGCAGCTGGCGAGGGGTGGGCGCCCTGCAGGCACAGCGCGTCTCTCCCCAGGGGACAGTGCAGGGGGCATGGACAGCGAGCGCAGCCGCAGGCAGGGTGCCCGTCGACACTTCTGCTGCTGGCTGGCCGTACCGGTCACGCCTCAGGGCTCCTCTCTCCTTGCAGGCTCTTCACGGAGCGGCAGCAGCTCAACTACCGCCTGCACTCTGTGTCCTGCATGGGGACGGAGGTGCACCTCTCCATGTGCGCCTTCGAGTTCTACCGGGGCAACGCCTCGGCCGCCTGCAGGGCTGGCATGCCCGCTGTCGTCAGCTGCCTGCCTGGGCCCCTCTTCACCACTGGCAACGCCCACAAGAAGAAGCAGCGCCAACAGCAGCAAGGCCAGGTGAGCCCAGCAGGGAGGGGGCCGGGTCCTGTGGTGGCCCACAGTGGCCGCTGCAGGGCTCTGTCCCCTGGGCTGCACCTGAGAACGGGCGTGCGGGTCCCTGGGTGACCAGCTCATGGAGCAGGAGGTGGGGACGGTGTCCTGTCCCTGCACGTCCCAGGAGTAATGGCTAGCAACCTCTGTGCTGCACTGTGTTGTGCCACACCATGCCATGCCATTCTGTGCCGCGCTGTGCCGCACCATGCCATTCAGCACCGTGCCATACCATGCTGTCCCATACCGTGACCTGACCCCGCTCCCCTGCAGCCGCGGATCCGGCTGAAGGGTGGTGCGAAGGTCGGCGAGGGCCGCGTCGAGGTGCTCAGGAGCAGCGAGTGGGGCACGATCTGTGATGACCACTGGAACCTGCTGTCAGCCAGCGTGGTGTGCCGCGAGCTGGGCTTCGGCAGCGCCAAGGAGGCCCTCACTGGGGCACGCATGGGCCAAGGTGAGGGTGCTGGGGTGGAGGGGCCAGGCATCGACCTCCTGGGCCTGTGGATGTCCCTTTGTCCAGGCGCAAGGCTCTGCTGGGCTGGGGGGAGCCACGGCTGGGCTTGTCCCGTGGGCGCCTGTCTGCCGGTCCACGCGGTGCAGGGCAGCAGCCACGGGGGACAGGAGTGCGCCCGGCTCCCTCGGTGCACACTGAGGAGCAAGGGCAGCCATGAATACAGGATGGCCATGGCTATGAGCCCTGAGCCCCACTGTCCCCCTGGCAGGGACGGGGCCCATCCACATGAACGAGGTGCAGTGCCTGGGCACCGAGAAGTCCCTTTGGAGCTGTCCCTTCAAGAACATCACGCAGGACGACTGCAAGCACACAGAGGACGCGGCTGTCCGCTGCAACATCCCCTACATGGGCTACGAGAACCTGGTGCGCACCGCGGGGGGCTGCCAGCATCTGCGGGGCCACGGTGCCTGGCGGCTCCCGGCATCAGGGCCCCCAGAGCTGGGTGCTGCGGGAGGGCCCATGGGACGCGCTGTGGGATGGCCCATCATTGCTCCTCCTCTGCACCCCATCGCAGCCCTCGCGTTTCCCCCTGCTCTGAGGCAAGGGCTGCCCTGGGGGGCTTGGGGATCTTGCGGGTGGGAGTCCCAAGCTGCCCCTGTGAGGAGAGGGGTGGAAGGGCGGCCGTGGGGGGCTCTGGGTGCCATGTGGTACCCCGCTGGGTGGGGTGGGGTGGGGCAGCTGCTCCCTGCTGCTCTCCCTGCTGCCAGCCTGTGCCAGCTCCCCAGCAGAAGCACCAGAAAAAAAATCCCTGTGGGCCAACCAAAAGAGATTTTTTTTTTTTACTGATGATGAAATGAGCAAATGGAGCTGTGTGTTCCTGTTTGCCCTGGCCTGTCATTTCATCCACTTTGGGCTTTTCAATCATTTTTAACTCTCTCATACCTGTCATTTCTGAAATGAGAATGCCATTTCAAAATGAACCATTTTCCCTGCTTTGGTGAGACAGTTCCCAAACTCACAAGCAATTTCTTGGCCCCAAACCCGCCATTTTTGGTGAGTCCCCTGCTGACCAAAGCTGTGCCTGGCTCTGCTTGGCTCCCGGCTGCCGCCTCCCCGTGTGCCCCAAAGCCCCTGGCCCAGGGCCCGTCCAGGCGCTGTAGCACAGCCCTGGCTGTGCCGGGGACGGGGCGACTGCGGCCGCTGTGGGACCGGGGCAGGGCAGGACCGTCCTGCAGGACGCAGCCCCAGCAGCGGGAGCATCACTTGTGATGATGATGATGATGCTGCCACTGCCTCTCTCCGCAGATTCGGCTGAGCGGGGGCCGGAGCCGCTTCGAGGGGCGGGTCGAGGTGGCGGTGGGGGCTGGCGATGGGGACCAGCCCCGCTGGGGTCTGGTCTGCGGCGAAGGCTGGGGTACACTGGAGGCGATGGTGGCCTGTCGCCAGCTGGGTCTGGGATTCGCTAACCACGGCTTACAAGTAGGTGCCAGCGCCAGCTTGGCCAGAGCAGCGAGCCACCACCACCACTGCTGCACGGGGATGGGGACGGGGACAGGATGGGGACAGGGTGGGAGGTGGCATGGCGCGGGGTGCCTGCTCACGGCCCCAGGGCTTCCCTGCAGATCCGCCTAGCGGGCGGGAGGACAGCATTTGAGGGCCGCGTGGAGGTGAAGCGAGGCAGTAAGTGGGGCACAGTGTGCAGCGATGGCTGGACCACCAAGGAGGCGATGGTGGCCTGTCGCCAGCTCGGCCTGGGCTACTCCCTGCACGCGGTGACGGTAGGTGCCGGCCGGGAGGCCCCTCGTGACACCGCAGCGAGCACAGGCACCGGCGCTTCCCTGACGGCTGTGGGGCTGTATGGGGGTGAAGGGATGTGGCTGCTCCGCGCCGCGGGACGGGACCCTTGTGCGCAGCCTGGGTACGCGGGCAGGGCTGCGCCGTGGCTGGGTGCTGGCTGCAGCCTGGCCACGCGCGAGGTGGGTCATCCATGGCAGCCAGCCCTGCCACCCAGCTTGTCTCACCCCCTCCCAGGAGACGTGGTACTGGGATGCCAGCAACGTGACGGAGATGGTGCTGAGCGGGGTGAAGTGCGCCGGCCATGAGATGTCCCTGAGCCACTGCCAGCACCATGGCACCAGCCTGAACTGCAGGAACACGGGCACACGCTTCGCCGCAGGCGTCATCTGTTCCGAGAGTGAGCGGCGGTGGGGTCTGCGGGCAATGGGGGCTGTGGCGATGGGGTGTGCAGGCAGCGGGGGCTGCGGGCAGTGGGGGCTGCGGGCAATGGTGCTGTGGGGCCAGGGGCTGCAGATAAAGGGGCTGCGAGCACTGGGGCTGCAGGCAACAGGGTTTGCAGATGATGGGGCTACAGGGTCAGCCTGTGCCCAGCCGATGGGGAGGGCACACGTTCCCCCGGCTGGCTCAGCCCTGCCTGCGCTGGGCGCTCGCCCCGTCCCTGCCGCCCGCCAAGCAGCGGGGCAGCCGTCTGTCCCTGAGCAGCCGCCTGCTCCCCAGCTGCCTCCGACCTGCTGCTGCACGCCCCGCTGGTGCAGGAGACGGCGTACATCGAGGACCGTCCGCTGCACATGCTGTACTGCGCCGCCGAGGAGAACTGCCTCTCCAGCTCAGCCCGCCTGGCCAACTGGCCCTACGGGCACCGTCGCCTGCTCCGCTTCTCCTCCCAGATCCACAACAATGGCCGCGCCGACTTCCGCCCCAAGGCCGGCCGGCACTCCTGGGTCTGGCACGAGTGCCACCGGTGCGTGCGCAGCATGGGCAGGGGCAGGCACGCAGGCAGGGGAACAAGCCTGGGCCAGGGGAGTCAGGGTGGGAGAGGGCGATGGTGCTGCTGGGGTGAGCTGGGTGAGGGTGACGACGGGCGAGGGTGGCACTGGGTGAGGCACCTTCTGCTGCCCAGTGACTAGTCACGCCTGCTCTGGCTCAGGGCTGTCCCTGCATGAGCAGTGTTGGGGCTGGGGGGCAGGGACGGGGCTGCAGGCTGTGCCCTGCCGCTGAGCCCCCCGCCTGCTTGGGCCATCTGGCTGGGGACAGCCCTGTCCCCTCCCAGGGCAAGACTGAGCTCTGCCCGACCTCGCAGCACTGCGGCCTCAGAGCAGCGGCTGTGGGGACCTTCGCGGACAGCACGGGGCCGGGCAGGCGGCGGGGGGCCTGCCACAAGGCAGGCGAGTCTGCTGTGGGCTCTGCGGGTCTCCTCCTCCGCCCCGAGCATCCCCAGAGCTCCCCAGCGCCCGGGCACTGGTGCAGCCGGGGCGCTGCGGGCTCCCCCTTGCAGGCACTACCACAGCATGGACATCTTCACCCACTACGACATCCTGACCCCCAATGGCACGAAGGTGGCGGAGGGACACAAGGCCAGCTTCTGCCTCGAGGACACTGAGTGCGAGGAAGGTGGGCACCGTCAGGCTTTGTGGCACCGTCCCTGCCCTGTCCCTGCTGCGGGGCTGCCTGTCCCCAGCCATTGCGTGCACCGGAGGTGGGCTGGGGGGGCTGCACAGGGGGCTGTAGCAGGGACAAGCCCCACTCCCTTTCTGCCCACAGACGTGGCCAAGCGGTACGAGTGTGCCAACTTTGGGGAGCAGGGCATCACCGTCGGCTGCTGGGACCTGTACCGGCACGACATCGACTGCCAGTGGATCGACATCACTGATGTCAAGCCAGGCAACTACATCCTGCAGGTGCTGCAGCTGGGCCGCCCCTCCTGCAACCCTCCCACCTGCACCCCCGCCCTCTGCCCCTGCACCCCAGCTCTCCGTGCACCCCAGCGCCCGGCCCTCTCTTCCCTGCTCTCTGAGCAGGCTGGAGCACGGTGGGGCTGGCGGGGGGTGTGCTGGCGGGGGACGGCGCCTGTCCTCATGCCCAGAGATGTGCAGGGCTCGTGTGAACTGTTCAGGCATGCTTCAGGCGGGGTTTTCCTGCCCCAAGCAACACTGCTCATGGGTGCATGGTGCATAGGGACAGGGCCACCCCGCCACAGCAGCAGCCACCGGCTCCTTGGAGCCCTCCAGCACATCCCACCGCAGCTGGGGAGACAAGTCCTGCCAGGGCTGGGGTGCAGGGGCTGTGCCGCAAGGCAGCAGCTCCACCGAGGCTGGGAAGGCCAAGCTGACACGGTGTGGGGCTGCCAGGTGTGGGGCAGGGGGCTGCGACCCTCACTGTCAGTGCCCCACAGGTCGTGATCAACCCCAACTTTGAGGTGGCAGAGAGCGACTTCACCAACAACGCCATGAAATGCAACTGCAAGTACGACGGGCACCGCATCTGGGTGCACAGCTGCCACATCGGTAACAGCCCTGGGACGCAGCACGGGGGGCAAGGGCAGACCGCGGCGGGGGGCGTGCTGGCAGGGGTGGCCCAGGAGGAGGGCGCTGACGGGGCTGCAGGCAGCAGCGGGGCTGGGGGCAGGCTGCGGGGCTTGGGCGGGATGAGCAGGCTGGCGTGGGGAGGCAGGGGCTGGGGTCCGAGGGGCAGCTGCGCTGACAGCTCTCGCCCTCTGCCCACCCAGGCGATGCGCTCAGCGAGGAGGCCAACAAGCGGTTTGAGCAGTACCCAGGTCAGCTCAACAACCAGATCTCATAGGGCCCCAGCCCCTGGGGAGACGGGCATCTCCCTCCCTCACCCCGCACAGGTGAGAGGAAGCTGCTGGGGGGCCGGCGGGGAGGCCTCACGCCCGCCACCGCCGCCACTGTGCCCTGCTGGGGACTGCCCAGGACTCTCACCAGCCCCACCTTGGGGAGCTGGTGCTGGAGGCACTGCACGCCTGCACCTCCCAGCCTGGGGCCACCAGCCCAACCACTGGCCAGAAGACTCTGTGCCCACATCCCCTGGGCTGCAGCACATGGGTATGGTCCGGGAGGTCCTGTACCCCCCCCGCACCCCACTCTGCTCCCAGTCCCTGCTGTCCCAGCTGCACCCCACCTCCTGCTCCCCCATCCTGCCCTGGTTCCTCTCTCCCCCACAGCCCTGCCCTCAGCTGGCCCCAGCAGGGCCCAGGACCCGCTGCCCATGCAGGGACTCGCACCCCTGCGCGGCACCGGCTGAGCCCCGGGGAGCCCCTTGTCCCCTGGGGCTGGTGTGGCTGCCCCTGCCCTGGCAGCACTGCCTCCAGCTGCCCAGCAGCAGCTCCCACACCCACGTCTTAGTTGTAATTTTATTTTCTCTATAAAGTTGTCAGTTCTGATTCCCCAATGGCTGCTGGCTCTTCTCTGGGGTGGGACGAGGAGCCTGGCAGGACTGGGAGGCACGGCGTGGCTCGTGCTGCGGGGCTGGCTGGCATGCTCCGGCACAGGGCACGGGAGCTGCTCACTCCATCCCCTGCACCCACCTCCAATACCCACATGGAGCAAGGAAGCCCCCCCTGCCCACGCAGCCCTGGCTGGGCAAGGACCAGCCCCAGGCCTGTACCCCAGCAGCCGCCTGCACCAGCCTAAGCCAGTGCTGGGCTAGAGAAAGACGGGAGAAGCCTGTGCGGGTGAGAGGAGGGGGCAGCACGAACCCAAGCATAGCTGCTCTGGCCTGAAGCAGCCCCAAGGGGCTGCACTGGAGGGAACAGACGGGGCCATCCTGGCGCAGCAGGGGCACGGTGAAGTGCCTGTTCCCCCGCACCAGATGCAACACAAATGTTATGGAGCAGAAATTCCACTGTGGGGCTGTGACCCACGAGCACTGCAGTCTCGCAGCAGAGACGGGCTGCCTTGGCTGGCATGGAGGGAGCAGAGCTGGGGCAGAGACACCCCAGCTCCTGCAGCTCTCGCACCTCAGCCAGACGCTCTGGTCCCATCCGCAGCAGCACCCGGGGAGGAGGAGAGGGGCAGCCGGCGGGTGGGCTGGGGCAGGCCCTGGCTCCAGGCAGTGGAAAGCGTTGCGGTCAGCGCTGCTGGAGCAGCTATGTGAGAAACACCGCCCGGTGTCTCAGCTATTTCCCCTGCAAGCAGCCGGCTGGGGCTTGCCGGGGGAGCAAATTCCTCTGGCGAGGCCAGGGCCGCCTGAAAGGAGGCCTGTTCTCCAGGGCGGGAGGAGCGAACGGGGGGAGCAGCGCTCCGAGCCGCCCTTCGCCACAGCACCCCCAAGGAACTGAGCTTCTTTCATCTCCTAAAAATAACAGGCAGGGGCGCGGGCTCAGGAGCCCCGTCACGGGCAGGGCCTGGCTCGACGTGCACATTCCTCCCGCCGGAGCAGGGCCGGACACAGCCCAAGGCAGCCCTCGCCACAGAGCTGCCTGCCTCCCGCTGCCTCTGGCAGGGGCCAGAGTGGAGCAGGGGATCTTCCAGGAAGGCGAGGAACAGCCGGAGCTGCTCCTTCCCAGAAGAGCCGGCCGGGCTCTTGGCCGCCAGCTGCAGAGCACAGGGAGGGCCCGGCCGGTCCCCAGGGGCCAGGCTGCATGCGTGGGAGAGCAGCGCTCCAGCACAGACAGGCAGCGGGCTGGGGGAGGGACAGGCAGCGCCAAGCAGGCACGCACAGCCTAGTCCCAGCACAGTCTCCCACCTTTGGCCCTCCTGAACATCAGGGCCAGCGAGATGCTGCCCCGGCCATCTCAGAGTGCAGCATCAGCACCCCTTTCACCGTGGCCCAGAAAGCTGCTTCATGGGTGCAGATGTGGATGCAGGCCTTACAGCATTTGCAACGCTCCCAGGGGAAGCACTCTGACGAGGCAGACATCTGCCACGTCCCTCTGGCCTCATGGGTGCAGCCACAGCAGCGAGTGCTGCCAAGGACCAGCTCAGCTGGCACACCAGGGAGAGCCGCCCCAGCAAAGCCTAGCCCAGAGCAGCTCCAGGGCCGCTGTCACTCACAGAGGAGGTGGCCTCACGAGCCACGGCTCGACGGGTGCCCGTGTGTTACAGATGGAGGAGTCAGATCCCAGCCTGCGCGGGTGCCGAGTGGGTGGCAGGACACCTCTCCCCTAACACGGAGGAGATCCCTGGAGGCACAGCTTGCGTGCTCCTCCGCAGGGCAGGGTCCCCCACAGCCCAGCCTCCCCTAGGCAACTGCTGCTGCCGTGGGAAGGAGGCCACACAGCACTGGGGGTCCCTAGAAAAGTGCTTTATTTGAGTACGGAGGGGAATGGTTGCACCACGAGTCCACCCAAGCACCGGGCCAGGCCCCTCCGCCTGGCCCCTTCCAGTCCCTCACAAACTCTCAGTCTCTTCCTGACCAGCGCACAGACACGGCTCAGTCCTGTGTCCTTGGCTCTCGGCCAGCACGGCCAGCCAGCGCCCGCAGCAGCCTGCGCGACAGCAACGCTACTCCGTGACCTCAGGGACGACGCTCACCAGCAAAGTGTCGTAGCCACGCCGCACCAGCAAGGCCAGGCTCTGCTGCGTCCGTACGGCCTCGTACACATCCTCTGCGCGGCGTGATGCCTGCCCGTTGATCTCCAGCACGACGTCACCTGCCTTCATCCCTGCCCTGTGGGGAGAACAATGACAGGAACACACCGGCGGGCAAAGCAAACGCTCAGCTTTGTCTTCCCAGAAGGAAGGGGAGCCAGGCACTACAGGAGGTCGGGCTGCTGCACCAGGCGTTCCAGCCACACAGGTACCTTGGCCAACAGGACACCAAGCATGGGCAAGGGTCACCAGTCAGTTTCTGCTGCGGACTGATGGCTGTGGGGCCCAAGCTCTGCTGTTCTGGAGCAGAACACTCAGAGCTAAATACATCCCATCCTGCGTAGTTGCTCTCCCATGCCACCCCCCAAGGCACAGGGCAGCACTTACTGATGGGCCGGGGAGCCAATGATCACCTTGTGGATTAGCACTCCGTAGGAGACATCAGGGAAGCTGGGGTCACGCAGCTTCAGCTCAGCCAGGATGCTGCAGAGTGAAAATCAGCATCACGGTAAGGAGCTGAGAGGCAGAGCAGGGCTCCCACCCCACCACAGCTGCACAAGCTTGGAGACTGAACCTCTCCTGCGTCCCTGCACGCTGCTAAGCACAAGCGACCAGCTGCAAACCCCAGGGGCACCCAAACACCACCATCTTCCTGTCAAAAACTAGAGGACAAAAGTCCTAACTGTGCCCGGGAGAGCTGGAAACTGCCAGCGCAGCCGCCAGCTGGATCAGAGCTGCTGGTGATGCAGTGCCCCTGTCCGAGCAGCCCCACGTCAGACCGCCCTTCCTGGTACCAGATCGGGCCCTTCCCTGCGGCAGTTTCCCGTCTCTGCCTTTGGCGGGTAGGACACACAACAAAAGCTACGCCCCCTCTTTTTGCCAGATGTGTCAAGCAGAGGTATACCCACACCTCTCCTCTGGAGTCTACAGACTGAGCAATCCCAGTTCCTCCGATCTTCCCACAGATTAGGTTTTCTAAACCTAGCTTCAATTCTGCCCCTCTCACTGCTCCTCTTTGGGCTCTCTCCAACTGCTCCTCACCCCTCCTGAAAGCGTGCAGAACTGGACGCAGTGCTCCAGCTGGATCTCACCAGAGCGGAGGGACCGTGCATCGTGTAAACAGCATTCTCCCCTCAAACACTGTGCATCAGCTCCGATCCGCTGCAGCCCCAGAAATTCTCTCTGCCCAGCTCCTTGCTCCTTATCAGGTACCTGCTCTCTGTTACGGCTCCCCGTGTCGCACTGGTCCTTGCTGAACTCTACTGTACTTTTTCACAGACCTTTGCAAGCTGCCATTCTTGGTTTCACACCATCACAGCATGGTGGAGGTTGGAAGGGACCTTTTGAGATCATCTAGCCCAACCCCCCAGCTCAAGCAGGCTCAGTCAGAGCAGGCTGCCCAGGACTACGTCCAGTCAGGTTTTGAGTATCTCCAAGGTTGGAGACTCTCCAACTTCTCCAGGCAACCTGTGCCAGGCTTTGACCACCCTCCTCACAGTAAAAAAGTGATTTCGTGTGTTCAGATGGAATCTCACGTGTTTCAGTTTGTGCCCGTTGCCCCTTGTCCCGTCACCGGGCACTACTGACAGAACTGCCGATTTGATGTGGTCTGCACGTTTACTGAGTCAAGTCTGCTTCTTCGCCTCAGTCACTAAAACTGAACAACACATGCCTTTAAGCAGGTCCTTGTACAAACACAGTAAATGTGTGATTTTGTGATTTTAGGCTACATAGCACTAAGAGTGGCTGCACCTGGTTGTGGTGGGTTGTTGACCCTGGCTGGCAGGTTCAGTCCCCACCCAGTTGCTCGGTCAGTCCCCCAGCAGGACGGGGGAAAGAATTTGAAGGGCAAAAGCAAGAAAACTTGTGCATTTAGATAAAGATAGTTTAACAGGCAAAGAAAGAGAGAAGAGGAGAGGGAGACGGAGAGGGAGACGGGAAATAAAAAAGCCAAGTGACGCAAAGGCACTCACTGACCACCTCCCACAGCAGGCTGATGCCCAGCCAATCCCCGAGCAATGGCTACCTTGGAAAAACGCCCCCAGTTTTACTGCTGAGCATGTCGTCACACAGCACGGTCAGTTCAGGCCAGCCATCCCAGCTGCCTCCCCTCCCAGCCTCCTCCCTGGAGGTGCCAAGTGAGAAACAGGGCAGGCCTTGACGCTGCGTAAGCACTGTTCAGCAACGGCTAAAACATCTGTGTGTTACCAGGCCTTGGTGACAGATCTAACACGCAGCACCGCGTGGGCTGCTATGAAGAAAGTGACTCCACCCCAGCCAGACCCAGTCCACGGGTCAGTCAGACGAGGGGGCCATCTTCCCCACCGCCCTGTCACCCACAGTGCCAGCCGCGGATGAGATAGCTCCCCAGATACCTATGGCCTCC